GAAAGGATACGTGTTCAGTAATCAAACTACCTCCGGGAGCAACCATCGGCCAAAAATTCCTTAGAATGAAAATTTCCATCGCAGTCTGACCTGAATTATGAAGAGTAGGACAATAAAGGATAGACAGTGTCTCAGAATTCTCAACAATTTTGTTCAGTAGAGAGAGCTGTAAGTTGACGTAATGCATAAATCAATCTCACAAGTCATAACTGTGAGCGGTCGGCCAACCAGTTGCTCTGCCGTATTTCGACGTTCGACTAATTATTACTCGGTCTGTGCCTATTGTTGGATCTCTAACGGCGTGGTATTCTTATTAGAGTCTCTTGATACAATCAGCCACTATCTATTTATATAGTCCGTCAAAACCACTGGTGCTGTCTCCTGAGAAATCACTATGTCGTGGGTCACTAATCAATTATTCGATATTTCTGATAGATATGTCCGGCAAGAGCAAATCACGTACTCGTCAATCCACCAACGCTAAAGTATCTAATATTCCCGCGAGTATTCCATCGGAAAGTGAAGTTGGGAAAATGTCTATTTCCGAAATCATAAGTGCGATGATGGAACGAAACGAAGAGCTGAAGGACCCGATCATGGGCAGATATATAAATGCGTTGGTTACGAAATTACCAGAAACAATTGCCGATGCTGTTGAATCAGAAAAGCGGGGTCGAAGTCTTGTGATTTATGGCATTCCGGAGTCTGGCTCGAATACAACTCCTTCTATGAAGCAGAGGGAGGTCGAAGAGAAGGTCAGTGAAGTGTTGGACTGCTTGGGGGTCGAGTGTCGCCCCGTGGAGGTGTACCGCATGGGGAAACCCGGCGGTGCACACCCACGTTTGGTGAAACTCGTCTTGCCCTCAAGGAGCCACTGGATCACTGCCCTTACAAATAGCTATCGGCTTCGTACCGCGGGGTTATCAAATATCTATATACGAAAGAGTCTAACCGCCGCGGAACGTAAGCAGGAGTTCGAGTTGAGGCAGGAATGTAGGGCTCGCAACAAGCAGGCAAAAGACCGTGTCTGGGTGGTGTACCGTGGTGAGTTGAAGCGCGTAGACGAGCTTCCTAAAAAACGGGGCTCGGGAAACGCTTAAACCGCCACGGTTCGCCTCAAGGAATTCGATGTTTCCTTTTGAATTCGAGAAGTTTGAGTAATAAGATGCACCACTTACATTTTTTTGATACGTTACAAATCCAGACATAGTTTCATTACCGCACAACATGCGTCATCGAAATCACGAGTGCCGAACTCCTCGGTAATCGCCCCTATAATGTTTTCCGTGTTGATCGCAATAGGCGAAGGGGTGGGGGTGTCTGCTGTATAGCCAGAACTTCATTGTTGCTTGCCTCCGTTACTCTTCCAGCCCAACTCAACTCCGAATTGCTGTGTCTCGATGGATTTGACAGTTTCTCCACTGTGATGTTTAGGCTTGTACTTGTTTACCGACCACCTAGTTCCAGTTCATTTGATGATAGTAATCTTATTGACTCTCTCTTGGATTGCTGTACTCTTGATAAGCACCTGGTTGTTCTAGGTGATTTTAATATCGACGTTGACTGGAAAACAAGTACAGCCAGAAACTCTGTTTCCTCCAAGTTTTTGGAACTATTCCGATGCTGTGGCTTTCGTCAACATGTCCATGTGCCTACGCGGGGAGAATCTACGCTAGATATCATACTATCTAATGCTCCCATAATCACGAACGTTTCGATGTTACCGCCTCTTGCAGCGTCTGATCATGTAAGTAGTACAATTTGAATATATAGCCGCACCACACCATGTCAATCTCGACTTCCATTACCAAACTTCGCCAAGGCAGATTATCCTGCACTGTCGAAGTACTTCTCCTCAATCAACTGGTGGAGCGTTTTTGATGGCTACTTTTCCTGTGATGATATGTACAAAAGATTTTGTAGTACTGTGTACGCGGGTCTGGCTAATTATGTACCCTTCGATTTCAAGACTCTGCCAGTAGCCAAATATCCTAAACAAATTAGTAACCTACTAGCCCAAAAAGCGCGGCTCTATGGTGAGTCACATAAAGACCCACTATCCGCTCTTCAGTACAAGAAAGTATGTCGTGAGCTCGATCGTCATTTAAGGAGATTTTTGTCCAGTAAGGAAAAGAGGGTTAGTTCTAATCTCCATAGGAGAGCTGTTTTTGGGCTGATCAAGTACAAGCTTAAGCCACACTCATATTTCCCTGTACTAAACGATGAGGCCGGAAATCGCTTGTTGACTGACTTCCAGAAAGCTGAGGCTCTCGCGCAATATTTCTCCTCTGTTTTCTGTGCGAAAGACGAGACTGCTTCAAATGTATGCCCCGAGAGTCGCGAGAGCTCGAGTATCCTCAGTGAATGTGTGGTATCCATCGAGGACGTGCATAAGACCTTGAAGTCATTTAAGTGTTCTACATCGCTCCCTTTTGATGGTATCCCACAAATCGTATATAGAAACTGCGCATGGTCTCTAAGCAAACCTATCTGCATGATACTCAATACTTCTCTAATGTTCAGTGAGGTTCCGCAAAGCTGGAAAGAGTCTATCATCACGGCTATTCCCAAGATTTCGGAGCCTAGGCTCGTTTCTTCGTTTCGCCCCATAAGTATCACTGCTCCACCTGCTAAAGCTCTGGAGAAGATATTACGGGATAAAATTCTATCACATCTAACGAAACATAATCTAATTCCCTTAGAACAGCAGTGGATTTTATTTGCGGCTTCTACGAGTACTCTAATGGCAGACTGCATTTTTGATTGGACCCTTGCCATTAATGAGGGTAAAGGGATTGACATCATCTATTTTGATTTGTCCAAAGCCTTTGATAGAGTGGATCATAAGACTTCTTCCACAAGTTATGGCATTGGGAATGATGCCCCATC